TTCTACTGGTTTTGGGGTTTTTTTGTTGTTCTTTTTCTAGATCTTTGAGCTTCGAGATTAGGTTGTTTCTTTGAGTTCTTTCTTGTTTCTTGATGTGAGCTTCTATTGCTATATATTTTCCTCTTATTACTGCTTTTGCTGCATCCCATACATTTAGGATATTGGTGTAAGAGGCATGTATTTTTATTTATTTGTTTGTTTGTTTGTTTGTTTATTTGTACATGCACTGGGTACAGTCAGAAGTGCTGGAGGGTGAGAGAATTCACCAGAGCCAGAGCGAGGAGCAGAGCAGGCAGAAGGACCGAAGTACACTGCTGAGGGGAGCAGCGGGCGGCAGGAGAGGTCTGCGCGCCATGTGGGACCCTCCTCTGGTGGCCGGGGAGCAGTCAGGGATCGAACCGGTGCCGCAGAGGCCGCAGGCAGCTTCGCAACCCAGCGCTCAACCGCTGCGCCACCGGGGAGGCCCGGGATTTCTTTTTTAATTAAGGTATAATTAACAAAGAACATTATATTAATGTCAGGTATCCAGCATAATGATTCAATATTTGTGTACACTCGAGATGATCGCCACATTAAGTCTAGTTAATATCCAACACTACACATCAAACATCTTTCATCTTGTGATGACAATTTTTAAGATCTACTCTCTTAGTAATCTGCAAATATGCTACAGTTTAAACTATCCACATTAACAATCTTATGTTACATCCCCAATTTATGTATTACAAACAGGAAGTTTGTGGGGTTTTTTGTTTTGTTTTGTTTTGTTTTTTACCACATTTACCTGTATTTCCCATGGCTGGCAACTACCTATCACTTAGCTATTTATTTTTTTAAGATTCTACATACAGTATTGCACATATTCATATTCCATGTCTGGCTTATTTCACTTAGCATTATGCCAGCGAGGTCCATCTGATGCGGTGACAGGTCTCTCTTTTTGCCCCACCAGTGAAGCATCCCTTACAAGTTCGTTTGTTTAACAAGTTTGTCTCCTTGCATTCTAAGGAAAAGGAAGGACACCCCTAAGAGGATGATACGTTAAACATGTAAGGAAGTTAAACAGCAGGTGTTGACAAAGCAAGCTGGCGCCCACCTGAACTCTCCAGATGCCTGCATCAAAAGGACATACTGGGGCCTCCCTGGTGGTGCAATGGGTTAAGACACAGCACCACGAAGTTATCCCTAGGCACTGCAGCACGAGTTTGATCCCCAGTCAGGGAGGTGACACACATGGCACAGCAGACCTCTCCTGTCTCGCCCGCTGCTCCCTGCAGTAGTGCATTACAGTCAGTGCTCCTGTTCTATTCCCTGCTCTGTCTCTGGTGAATCCTCTCACTGCCCACACCTCTGGCCTGTACCCCAGTTCTTGTATGCATAAATAAATAAATCTTTTTTTTTTTAAAAAAGGACATTTGCAGACCCTTGCCCACCTCCCTTTTGTTTTACTCCTTTGTATAAACACCGCTGCCCTCTGCCCAAAAGCAGGATGGTGTTCTTTCAAACACGAGTCTGCTGCCCTCCACAGTCTGCCGACAAATTTTACTACTTTTCCTTTTCTTCAAACTCTGTTTCCTTTTATTGACTGAGGGAAACTGAGGTCGGCATTTGGTATCACATCCATGTGGTCACAAAAGACAGGATATCATTCTTTTTGTGGCAGAATAATAAGCCACTGTGTTTATAAAGATAGGTATTTATCACCTTTTCTTTACTCATTGCTCAGTGGACCATGGGTAGCTTCCATGTCACGGCTGCTGTAAGTAATGCTGCAATCAAATGGGTTGCATGTATCTTTTTGTGTTGGTGTTTTAGTTTCCTTTGGACAAATATCTAGAAATGGAATTGCTAGATCGTATATGGTGGTTTTATTTTTAACTTTTTGAGAAGCTTCCATACTGGTTTCCATAGTGGCTGCACCAATTTACATTCCCACCAACAGTGCACAGTTTTCCCTTGTCTCCACATCCTCACCAACTTGCCATGGCTTATCTTTTTGATAATAGCCCTACTAACAGGTGTGAGATGATCGCTCACTGTTTCGATTTGAATTTGATTTGGTTTTGATTTGCACTTCCTTGACGATTAATGATATTGAGCACCTTTTCTGCTATCTGTGGCCATTTCTACGTAGTCTTTGGCATAATGTCTATAAGGTCTGTGGTGGTAGTGTTATAGGACAGGGAGAGGGGCAGTCCAAGCCCCGCAAACCTGCCTATTCTAAATGGGTTCTGCCATCCGCCGCATCAACACAAAACATAGGAGACTTTAATGGGAAGGAACTTTAATAAAACTAGGAAACAATACAGGTAAGGTAAAGAGTCTAGTTTCTAAATGAAGCACCCAAAGTTACCCGTCCCCTCGTGGGTAAAAGTCCATCCATATGGGATCGGCCCAGAGCAAGGCCCCAAAGCCTGCCACAAGTCTAAAGCATCTTCCAGTGGGGACCCACAGCAAAGGGTCAGAAACAACCAGACAAGCCCGGAAGGAAAAGAGCAAAATCAACATCAAGATAAAAGCTGCCATTGTCACCTCCCCACGGGTCTCACCCACATCTGTGTCACCCAGTCCACGACCAAAAGACAAGCGCAGTTTCTTCACGTGTCTCTAGGCTCCATGCGCCTCCTCCAGGTCTCCTGGCTCCATCCTGCTTCCTTCCTCAGTCTCTTCTCCAGCTTCTCCTCTTCCTGCTCAGCTCCACCCTCCCTTGGGTGGGGCAGGGAACCTCCCCCTTTCCTGGGGACCACCCTGTTACAGTAGGACATCAGAAGGAGGCCAGAGGCTAGGGAGTGAAAGATTCACCAGAGACAGAGTAGAGAACAGAAAAGGTAGATTCATTCAAACACACTGTAAGGGTCTACACTGTCTACACCTGAAAAAGGATTTGAGGGTCTCTTTTATACTCTTCTTTTATGGGCTTTCTTACTCAGGACACCAGTATGCAGTTATCTTCTTGGATGTCTGGTCTCTGGTGCTCACCTTTGACACAATATATGTCCTGGCCCTACTTTCGCATTCCTGGACCTGGGCTGGTTTTTCTGGTCAAGGAAGTCAGTCTTTTGGTCCAGTTCCCATGGTAACCTATCAATTCTCTTATCTAGTCAAATCTCCCAAACTTGCCTGAGGGGCAAGAAATGGAGGCTTAGTTTTTAACTTTATTAAATGATACCCTGACAAGATCCTCTGCCCATTTTAAAACCAGATTGTTTGCATTTTTGCTATTGAGTTTTATGAGTTCTTTAAATACTTTATATATTAATCCCTTATTAAATGTATGATTTGCAAATATTTTCTCCCAGTTTGTTGCCTTTTCATTTCACTGATGGCTTCCTTTGCTGTATAGAAGATTTTTAGGTGATATAGTCCCATTTATTTTTTTTGCTTTTGTTACCTTTGCTTTCGGTCGAATAAAAAAAATCTGCCAAGTCCTATGTCAAGGAGCTTGTGTTTCTTTTAGGAGTTAATGGGGTCAGGGTTTGTTTGGTTGTTGTTTTTTTTTTCTTTAGAACAAAAAAGGCAAATTTATTGAATTACACAGGATGAGCAGCATGGTAAGATGGGAGAGGTCTGCACTTGGGTTCAGGTTTTATAAGCTTGAAATTTGACATTCAGCTTTCCATGAGGACTTTGTGCAGAAAACAGACACTCTATGCCTGGTGATGAGAGAAGATACATCACCTGAGCAGACACTTACCCTGTACCTGGTCTGTCTTTTTAAATTAAAAAAAAATTTTTTAAAGATTTTTTATTTTTTATGCATACAAGAGCTGGGGCGTAGGCTAGAGGTGTAGGTGTGAAAGGATTCACCAGAGACAGAGTGGGGAGCTGAACAGGCAGACTGACTGAAATACACTGCTGAGGTGGGCAGCAGGCAAGGCAGGAGAGGTCTAGCCTGGGATGGAATTTGTGCTTACAGTGGCTGCTGGTAGCTTCATAGTGCTGAGATTTAACCCCTTGTGCAACCAGGGAGGTCCTAAATTTTTTTTTTTTTTTTTTACATATTACATTGGTTTACAACACTATGAAGTTTCAGAGGTATATGTGAGGGAAGTAAACGAGCCTAGAGAAGCTTTGGAGAGTTGATCAGGTAGGAAACTAGGGGAAAAATAAAGCTTGAGAGGGGTCAGTAAAGTTGGGTGGGTCTGCAAAGCTCCTGCGAAGTGTGGACTCTAATAATAAATGTCACTTATGTATCTGTCTATATCATATAGTTAATATAGTTCTGATTTATAATACCCACTCTGTTTCAGTACTTTATTATAAATTGCACTGCACACTGAATGGCATTGTTCTTCACTACCTCTATTTTGTATGAGCTAATGAAGGCTCAATGAGTTTATGTTAAGTTGTTCATGAATCCCCTGAATAGAAAAGCAAAGACTTAATTCTATTCTGCAGAACAGAATAGTGCTTAAATATATCCTTGGAGCCAAAAGAGCTTTGGCTTGACTATTTTTGTCATTTACTAGTTATGTAACTTCAGCACATTAATTAAGTTCCCATTTTGTAAAATGGGAGTGATGGCTGTCCTTAATTCCCAGGGCTGAGAGGAAGAATTAAATGAGCCAGCTCACGAGGCCTTTAGCATAGAGCCAGGCTTCTTAATTAAGCACACGATAAATGTGAGCTAGGCCTGGGAGGGCGGAACATTTTAAGAAAAAGTGACCAACGCTTGTTTCCTTCCAGTGCCTTTTCAGGTCTGCCCCCTCATGTCCCAGTTGCTATCCCTGCAGAAGCTCCGAACGAGAACCTTCGTGAAAGGAATTTCTTCTGTCCTGCCTGCGTTGGAAACGGTTAACGCAAGGACCGCCCCATCTCCTAGAACACACTGCCCAGGCTTTGTTGTCTTTCCATCCCCAGCGGGTGACAACTTTTGGGGCGCGGCACTCTGGGGGCTGTAGTCCGAGCGTCCCCATCCACATCAATGGGGCCACGGATCTGAGGGCGAGGAAAACTACAAGTCCCAGAGTCCTCCGCGCCCCCGGAGGCCGAGCGTGGGCGGGACGCTGCCGGAGCCGGAAAGATGTCAGCGCCCGCTGTCAAGTACCTGCGGTGAGGGCTCTGTTAGTCAATAGGAACTTGGAACGCGACGCCCCGAGTCCAGGGTGGTCCCAGTACAGGCAGTGGGGCCAGAGAAGCGAGCGCTAGGTGTTCCAGGGCTGCAGTCGCTCCAGATGTAAACTAGCCCCGAGATCCCAGGGTTTTTGAAGTGCCCAGCCTTCGCCTTGGACATGGCCACCCCCTTTTCCTTCTCTAGGACTCGGCCGGAGGAAGGGCTGTGGGCAATGCTGTGAGGATTCTCTCTCGATATCCCGGAGTCCCGGGGGGAGGCCGCCACGCTGACGTCCGAGGAGACAGGCCCTGAACCCAGGCTGACTATGAAGAGTGACCCCTCGGCCTCTGCAGCCCCCCTCAGGGGCCTTGTGGGGCCCCTGCGGAGCAGTGAGCCGGTGCGTGTCACCCCAACCCCGTCGGCTGCTGTGGTTCTGCTGGAGGAGGCGGCCGACCTCTTGGTGGTGCACCTGGACTTCCCTGGGGCGCTGCAGACCTGCGAACGTGCCTGGCTGAGCCTGGACAAGGACGGCCCAGCAGAGGAGCCCGCGGGCACGTAGGTGCTGGGCTTGCCGCATTTCAGGGTGATGGTGGGGAGAGACTCCAGACCACAGGAGGTTTGGCATCCCAGATTGCTCAGGCGGAGCTGTGCACCTCGCTTCCATTAAGTTCCTCTCCGAGAGGAGAGATCGATAGGTCCCCTTTGCATAACAGGAAGGTCTCCCAGGCAATTCTTTGCTGCCTGTTCCCGTGTAGAATGTGCATTCATGTTCAAGTATTTCAGTAGTCCTTTTTTTTTCGTGAGCAGGTGGTGAATGTCCTCTTCTAGGTACACGCCACTCTGCCAACTTGTTCACTCCTGATCTTGGCTGATGAATGGGAATGGGTTCAGGGCAGGAGTAGTGTTCTGCCCTGTCCTGTTGAAGGATTGGATTCAAGAATTAACTCAGAAAACCTTGGTTCTGCATTACTTTCTCTCTTTTTTTTTAAGATTTATTTATTTATGCATACAAGAACTTGGGTACAGGCCAGAGGTGCAGGGGTGAGAGGATTCACCAGAGACAGAGTAGGGTACAGAACAGGTGCATTGACTGAAATACACTGCTAAGGGGAGCAGCAGGTGAGGAGAGGTTTGCCATGCCATGTGGGTAGCTCCCTGGCCCGGAATGGAACTCATGCTACAGTGGCTGTGGATAGCGTCATAGTGCTTTTTAGTGCTGAAACTGAACCCCTTGCACCACCAGGGAGGCCCTTCTGCATTACTCTTTCTAATGCCAGCCTCTTCTGGTTTTTGAGGGCATCGTTTTTTCTGTAAAGTTGAATCAGACCACATTAAGGAGGTAGAGGGTAGAATAGTCTAAGCTGAGCCTAGAGAAGGATGAATTAAGGCTTCCTGGCTATGTTTGTAAGGGTTGTTGCAGTACTATGATTTTGGGATTTTGGGGGTACCCCCTAGTTGTGCTAAAAGGCCAGTGGGGGAGTTCCTGTGTTACCTTGCTCCATGCCCAAACTCTCCTCTCACACACCCGTGCGGCACATTGTCCCTTTCCCCTCAGGATTAGATGAGCCCTTCCTTGGCATTTAAACCTGATTTCACCTGAATACAAGGTGTAGTTCAGCAAGTTGCTTTGCCTCTAGAAAGTTTATAGGAACTTTAACTCCTGTGGAAAAGGACAGTTTTCTCTGTGCTGGGGCCCGTGATATCATTTTTTTTTTAATAAAAGATTGATTTATTTATTTATACAAGCAATTGTTATAGTCAGAAGCGCAGAAGGGTGAGAGAATTCACCAGAGCCAGAGCAGGGAACAGAACAGGCAGACTGACTAAAATACACTGCTGAGGGGAGCAGCGGGCGCGAGAGGTCTGCGCGCCATGTGGGACCCTTGCTGGCAGCTGGGGATCGAACCGGTGCTGCAGAAGCTGCAGGCAGCTTCGCAGCCCAGCGCTCAACCGCTGTGCCACCAGGGGAGGCCCCCATGATAACATTTGTAACTGTGCGGCCCACTTGAGTACTGGCCATGAGGACAAAGGTGATGCTGCCGAGCTGGGGAGGAACAGTCCTAATTGGAGGTGGGAGTGGAAATGGATGGGAACTTCTTTTAAAACTAAATTTAGGTTTTCTACTGACAGCTCCTCGGAGGTGAAATGTTCCTTGTGTGTTGTGGGCATCCAGGCCCTGGCCGAAATGGATCGGTGGCAGGAAGTCCTGCCCTGGGTTCTTCGGTATTACCAGGTCCCTGAAAAGTTACCCGCCAAGGTCCTGGAGCTGTGGTAAGTCCTTGTTGCTACTTTTTGGATTATTCCAAGAACAAGAGGGTTTTATGTCCTCTCCTGAGTTGATGCCTATTACCTTTTCCCTCTCCGGTTATTTTTTTTTTTTTCTCCAGAGCTCAAAACATAACAATAAAGGATGAGAAAGAAAGAATTTAGGAGTGGGATAGAGCAAAAGAGGGGGTATTGGGAATAGATGTGAAGTGGGATGACAGAAGTGGAGTGTGGCAGAGTAAGAGCTTCTTGCCATTTCCAGGAATTCCTAATTATGTCCGCATCCCATAGGGAGGGCCTGGAGGACACAGGGGAGGGGCTGGCTAGAAGTGTGGTGACTATGGGAGATGAAGGACTGTGGAGCTGACTGTGCTTTTTTGGGATTGGATTATTCGGGTCTGCAGTGTTCTTTTATACAGCAAAATGCAAGAGCCTGGAGCCATACTGGATGCGGCCAGAGCCTGGCTTCAAGACCCAGACAATCAAGGCCTTCCAGAGTACGGAGCCTTGGTACAACTTCACCTGCACCGAGTGCTGCTGCCTCTGGGCTGCTTGTCGGAGGCTGAGGAGCTAGCGGTGGGCTCTGTGACCTTCAGTGAGGAACAGCGGCTGGATGCACTCCAGGCCATTAGTACAGCAAGGAAGCAGCAGAACCAGCAGCTCTCCCACTCCAAGGAGGTCCAGAAGCTAAACCAGGCCCAGAAGCTAAACCAGGAAGGTAGGACAGTATCCTTGTGTGGACCCTGTAAAGTACAGTTGTGCCCTTCCCCCTGGACCTTGGGGTCCATCGTGACATTCTTGGGAGTTTGGGAGCAATTCTTTGTATGAGTAACTTCCAAATTGCAGATATAATGTTGCATAAAAAAACAAGCCTAGGGCCTCCCCTGTGGCGCAGCAGGTTGAGCGCAGCATGTTGAGCGCAGCGCTGTGGAACTGTTCGCAGCCTCTGCAGCGCGGGTTCGATTCCCAGCCGGCCAGGGAGATTCCCACATGGCGCGGCAGACCTCTCCTGTCTCGCCCACTGCTCCCCTCAGCAGTGTATTTTGGTCCATCTGCCTGTTCTGCTCCCTGTTCTGTCTCTAGTGAATCCTCTCACTCTCCTGCGCCTCTGATCTGTACCCCAGTTCTTGTATCAGAATAAATAAATCTTTAAAAAAAAACCAAAAACAAGCCCAGACCCTCTGTACTTGGTGGTAGAATCTCCATGTAGGAAAGTGTTGCTGGGTTTCAGAACCTTGACTCTTATCTCCTGAAAGTCACCTCCTCCTTGGGGTTCTCTCATTAGATCTTCTGCCTCCATCATGCTGGCCTGGGTGGGATGTTACTCCTTCAAATACAGACACAGCTGAGGTGTGAGTGGGAATGGCAAAAGAAAATAAGAAAATGACATGATAACTTGGTCACTTGACTTCTCAGAAAAAAATTATTCTAGCTTCAGCCCCTGCCCTGCCAGCCTCCTATCTGTCTTCACTCACTAGACTTCTTCGGGGGCTTCAGTGGTCCCCGTTCACTCCTTGCAGGGGCAGCTCAGCTCTCATTAGAGTGGTTTTTATGGGGAAACCACTTCATGAGCCAACACTGTAGACCCAGCCAGGATCCTACCAGGGGCACCAGAGTGCTGTTACAAAGGGACTTTAAAGCTGCTTTATTCCAGACTCTTCCCGTCATACTTGAATATTCTTCAACTTTTCCTCCAGTGTTCATCTAATCTATCCATGAATACTTCCAAAATTCACTGTCTCCTGGTGCACCTTATTCTGCTGTGGACAGTCCTGTGGGGAACATCTTCCTTATGCTGCATTTAGTTTTCCTTCTGGTAGCTTTCCCCACTGATCTTTGTTTTCTTCTCTTAGTAACATACTGTGTAGAACAGGCCTTCAACTATTAGGAGACTGTTTTCCAGAGTGTTCTGAACGGTAAGAATCTGGTGCGATAGGATCCCTTCTTTGCAGACAGGTTGTTGGCTTCAGGGATTGCCTGACTGCCCTGTCTGTCCCCACCCCCTGGCGAGGAAGGGGTAAGGGAAAAGAGTTTGTTGGGAAGTTCAAGGTCTCCTGTCAGGGCTGGGCACTTGTTTTAGGCTTGATGTGTTTATGTTTTTATTCATAATCGAAGACTTTTGAATTCTTTGTATGTGTTCAATGCCCCTCATTTCCCTGAGTTAATGTGATAAACAAGAACTATTGCTTTGTGCAACTCTGTGCCTTCTATCTTAGAGCAAAATATAAAAAATGCTATAAAATGTGAGGCTATAAATAAACACCAAATCTGCCAACTTTACCAGCTGATTAGATGCCTATCAAAGGAGATATTCCCCTCCCAGAAAATCATTGCCAACTTATTGAAAGTGGTGAGATAAAATGTATTTCTATTCTTAACATTTATTTTTTAATTAGAATAACTTTGCATTATAGCATTATATAAGTTTGAGGTGTACTTTACTAAAAATCAACATCTGTATAGACTACATTAAGTTCACCATTGAAACTCCAATTCTATCCTTCAAGCAATTTGATCCTTTCTACCCAGTTGACCCACCCCTCTCCCCTCTTCCTTTCTGGTAATCGCTAATTTGGTCTTTTAGTCTCAAAGTTCATTTTTATTTTATTTATTTCATTTGTTTCTTTTGTTGATTTATTACCATATTTTTTTGACTTTCTCTGACTTACTTCACTAAGCATAAGGTCCACGAGGTCCATTCATGTTATAAATAGCAGGATTTCATCTTTTTATAACTGTATAGTATTCCATTGTGTAAACAGCCCACATCTTTAGTCATCTGTTGATGGGTATTTAGATTGTCTCCAACTCTTGGCTATTGTGAATAATGCTGCAGTGGCAACACATATATCTCTTTGAATTAATGTCTTTGTGTTTTGGGGGTAGATGCCCAGAAGTGGGATAACTAGATCATATGGAACTTGTTTTTAATTTTTTGAGGAATTTCCATACTGCTTTCCATAATGGCTGTGCCATTTTACATTCCTACCACTAGGGTTCCCTTCTCTCCAAATCCTTTCCTTTTCTCCTCTTTGGGTAATAGCCATTCTCATAGGTGGAAGTTGGTATCTAATTGCAGTTTTCATTTGTAGTTCCCTAATTAATATAAACGATGAGCACAGAGGTGACATTTTACTGATGTACTCTGTCCTTAAAACATTTTTGGAGCTTTTGGAATTTCCTTTAGAACTGCTTTGTGAACTACAAGAGAAAACCAATCTTGTTACCTTTTGCTCAACTCTTACAGTCAAGCTCAGTCAGGGAAGCTGATTCTTGTGACTTACCTCTCTCTCCTGACCAGATTCCTTCTCCCACAAGTTCCTGTCACTACTGATGCTGCTTCGCCGACTTTGGAACTCTGCAGTGAGCCACTTCTTTTCCCTGCCCTTCAGAAAGAGCCTCCTGGCTGCCCTGATCCTCTGCCTCTTGGTGGTGAGGTTTGATCCAGGTGAGTGATGAAGCCTGTTGACCTCCCTTCCTGGGAAGGGGAAGTTGATGGGGCTGGGCCTGTGGGAGCCCTCCTGGGGATGGAGGTCCCTCCTGTGCCTCTTTTCTCCGGGTTTTTCTCTAAGGAGGGCTTGTTGGACCAGATTAAGGACATGTCCATCTAGGAGAGACCAGTCCTGGGCTCGTGAGAGGAGTCTGGAGTGAATCCACTCCCCCTGTGTGCCCTTCGACTTGAGTGCTGTCATTTAGCATCCACTTTATCTTGGGCTCAACTCGGACTAGAATCTCAGAGTTTAAAAAAAAAAATCTTCCTCCTTATCATGTCCAAAAAAGTGTGATTTGAAAACATTAAATTGTAAGTGAAGTACTCGTATATTTTAGAAAATGTGGAAAATAGAGAAAAGTATTTAAAAAAAACAAATTTTTGTTTGTTTCCATAAGACATTTAGTCTCAAACCATGGTCTTATGAGGTCTTCAAAGGGCCGTATGGGGCCATTTGACTGGGTATTTCCAGGGCTGCTCAGAGCTCCTGGGGGCCCTGCCTTGGGGGTGGTTTTGATCACTGCAGTGATACCCGCAGGAGAGGAAGACCTGGCTGTGGTTAGAACTATGATGAGTAGAAAGGATCTAAGATAGGCAGGCTGTCAGCAACTTTCTTTAAAAATGACATTTTTTTTTAAGAAATTAGTAATTCAAATAGGGAGAACACAAACCAACAACTCAGTTCTAATTCCAAAGAAGTAGATTTTATTGTATTTTCAATATAATTAACTTAGGATAAAAATAGGTAATACTGTCACATGACTGTAAAGTTAAAAGGTTCAAGGTACAAGGAGGAATGTGAAGCTTCTTTCCAAATTCATCTCCCCAGAAGCAGCCACCATTATGTTTTTTGTCTATCAGAAAGTCAGATTAAAACATAATAAATTTGGATCTTTTTCTCAGCAGATTTAAAGTCATTGTAATCCAAGTGAGGAAAACATATTCCAGAAAACACATCATAGAGAAAATGAAATTCTTTGTTGTTTGGGAGGGGAGGCAGAGCAGATAATATTAAGCACCAATATCTGCTTTAAAGAATTCAATCTTGGTCCCAGGGTGTCGGTTTCTGAGGAACGGGAGGCGGGGCTCAGTGATGGGGTGGCGGGGGGATGGAGGAAAGGCCACTGACTGCAGCCTTCCCTTCCCTGCAGCTTCTCCTTCTTCCCTGCCCTTCCTCTACAAGCTGGTTCAGCTCTTCCATCGGATCCGGGAGACCATGTTTTCTCCCTTCTACCCGCTCCCCACCCACGACTGAGTGTTCGTCTCCTTCCCCTCAACCTGTCACATCTGTGGTCACAGAAGCAGAGTAACTCATCTGTCAGAGCCTGTTTCCTGTTGCAGACTGAGCCTCTCCAGGAGTGTGGCCAACCTAGTTCTAGAAAGAGCTGTTCCAGTCAGGCGAACTACACAGTTTCTCTCCCCTTCACACCCTTGCACCTTGGCTGGCCTCACTGGGTAACATGGAGACAAAGTGGGTCAGAGGGCACAAGTCCTTGAGAACAGACCCCCTTAAGCCCAGAGGCCCTTCTTAGAGGAGGAATTTGGGAAAGGAGAGTGCATCCATTCCACCTTCTTGGCAAAGACAAGCAGTGGATTTTTCAAGTTAAGGTGTTAAAGAAGATGGAAGTTCAGAAAAACCCTGATGGAGTGAATGACCTTTGGCCTTTCACTTCACTGAAAACCTTGCCTCTGAAAATTGCTCCCGAAGGCTTACCTAGGCAGGAAGGTCTGAGAGGGTCTCTTTCTCTTCATCTGTGCCTCTCCCACAGGAGGAAAACCACCCTTCCCCTGGTTTCACAATGGGCTGGAAGCTGCTCCAGCCCTGTGTTCACTCCAGGGTTCTGCTTTCAGAACCAACCAGGTGACTCTTTAAAAAAAAAGCAAAGTGAGGCTGCCCAGCCCTTCCCACTGGGTAAATGATCTTGCTTGGTAGCTCTTGGGCTTCAGCTCAATTTTCCAGCTTGTCAGTGGCCAAGTCCTGCTCCATTACTCTCAGTATCTCTGTCCTCTCTTCCCCTCCTGCTGCCTGCAGTGGTGTTTTTGTACTTTGCCCTGTGGCCGTTTCACCAGGTTCTCCCTGTAACCTGCCCCCTTGCTTCCCACGTGACTGCTGCCCCCCTTTCTGTGTCCTGTTGTTCTAGTTATATTCCATTGTTGGTATAACGCACAAGTTTTTCTGCTCATGTGATGGTGAAAAGTAGGCCAGGCTCGGAGGCAGATGAGCTGAAAATGGAACTGGGTAATCAGGTGAGCTGGAAACAACATGCTGAGGGAGTTGGCAGCAGGGAGACAGGGTTTAGAAGACAGTAACAATTTTATTCATTGTTAAGGGGAGGAGGCTTCCCCGACTTAGTGTTTGAGTAACCAATGTTTTGGTCACTGGCCACAGGAGTCTTACACATGCAAAGCCCTGTGCTGGGAGGGCTGGACAAGCTGCAGCAGGGCGGCCTTTCTGGACCGAAGGTCAAGGAACCTGCCCCTGCTGGGCCCCGGTCACTGTTGATGCCAAGAGCACAGGAGCTGCCTATTTGCTTTTCTGTGGCACAGTCATGTGGAGTGGGAGTCAACAATTCTCTTTTAGAAAAGTGGGCAGGGTAAGGAAGTTTCACAGGCCCTTGGGAGGTTAAGACCCTAGGATGTGGTCTAACTCTAGGAAACAAATCTATGCTTTCATGTATGGGCTTTTAAACAGAGTTAAGAATCCCGGGTGCGAAGGGAGATGGGTCAGCTGTCAGTTCTCTCCTTTAAAATGATTTCTTAAAATGAAAACCCACTCTTGTTCACTATCCTAGATCAAGCTCTTTAATGGCTTCCCAAGACCAACAGGATAAAATCCAGGCTCTTCTTCATGGAATTTTAGGTCCCTTGTGCGCTGCTTTTGGCTGACACCTCCACTTTCACATGGGCCCTCTGCTCCTTATGCTCCCCGCCCTCCAGCGACCCGGCCAGCCTCAGCTTTCTGATGTCTGCGTGTTCCCTCACACCGCTGTGCCTTTCCCAGCTCCTGCTCCTCTGCTCTGTCCGGTGCCCTCCTTGGCCTGGTGAGCTCCTCGACCGAGCAGACTTATTCAAGGTCACCGCTGGGCTCCTTTCCTAATGTCGCTACTCCCAGGCCTCCATTTCGTACCCCTGCTGTGGTAGTGACCCATGGCCTTATAATTGTGAAATTCTTTATCGCCTCCGGTCTCAGTGAGCTCGTGAAGCTGGGGAGTTGCGACTTGTTGCAGTGTTAAGAGTCAGGCTGGAGCCCTGCCCGCCTGCACTCACAAGGTTTGACTGTTGGAAAGTGATTTAACCTGTCTGGCTGTTCTCAACCCTATGGCAGGGCTTGCCTCATAGGGACTTTGAGTAAAGGCGATCCTGCTTAGGAAGTCTTCAGCTTCTTCTCCTGCCTGAAGAGCTCCCAGGAGCTCGCTCTCCCTGTGGCTCAGCCGGGAGCCTGGGAGTTGGGTATTCAGAGTTGTCTAAATAAATGGGTAGAACTGAAATGCGCTTTGGGTGAGTGTGTGGGCTTTGTATTGTGAAACCCTGAGTCTAAAGAAGACCTAATTCTGTGCAACTCATTTTCCCGTCTCTCCCTGAAGTTCCCCAGCGGCGTTCTGCCTGCAGGCCTCCAGGTTCCCTGCTTTATGTTTGCCGATCTCTGCAGTGCTGCCTGCTAACCAGCCTTCCTTCCTCATCAGACAGGGAACTTAGAACCAAAACTGCTTTGACAACTTTAACCTCTTCTAAGGATGCAGGCAGGTCCTCATGTCAGTCTTCAGTTCTGGGCTTAAGAGGTCAGAAGCAAAGGAAGGACTTTTTTGTTAGACTTACAGATACTGTAAGCCGTTAGGCAGATGTGGCTTTTGAGCTCTGGAACTATGATTGGTCCAAATCAAGATGTTCTGTAAATATATAGTATACTTTGGATTTCAAAGATTCAGTACCAAAAAAGAGAAAATGGAAACTCAGTAATTTTTATAATGAGTGCTTGTTGAAATAATATTTTGGATATATTGGGTTAAATAAAGTCTGTTATTAAAATTACTTTACCTGTTTCTTTTGCCTTTTTTTGTGGGACTCCTAGCATATTTAAATCACAATATCTTGCATTATATTTCTAAGGGACATTGCTGCCCAACACATGTAGTTCAGAGGGGATGGAGATCAGAGAAGCTGCATTGCATGATCGACTACTGCAGGGTGTTAGACCCCAAAAGATCACCTAGTAGAGCCCCTTCTTTTAAGTTAGGAGATTGAGACCCAGAGAGGTGAAGTACTTTGCCCCAGTCCCACAGCCTGAATAAGACCAAGGTCTCCTGACACTCAAGTCTAGTGTTTCTTTCACTACATGATTCTGCCTCACTTGTTGTACCCTCAAATCACTCACTCTAGCTGAAGATCACTGTTTATGCAAATGTATCTGAGAAGGTGATTTCAGCGGGAGATTACAGGGTTCTGACTGCAACATGGAACAGTTTTTAAAGCTTAGGGGTGCTGAGAGTATGAACAGGTAATGCTCTTCTGTGTTCAGATTCAAGTCAAAGAGGAGTAGACATGTGGGCAATCATAGGGGTGCAGGCGGGTGGGCAGGTGGGATTCTGCTTCTAGAAAGGGCCAGAGGGACTGAGCAAGTATTTCATAGCTTTGTGTAGGCGGTTCCCACTCTTGCTTGTGTGTGTTTATACATGGGTGTGTGTAGACCATTAAAAAAATATTCAGTGTAATTTCAAGTTTTATATGGTACAGAGTTCAAAAGTTGCAAAAGGGTTTTGTGAAAGAGAAAGTCCTTTTTTCACCCCCATTCCACGTTCCCCAGTTTTTTGCCCAGAGACCACTGTGGTTGTCTGTTTATCCTTCCAGAGCTAATTTCTGATATTAAGCTTTTCTTTCTCTTACACAAATAGTGGCACAGCACGCACACTACACACTCTGGGCCATGCTTTTTTTTTTTTTTTTTTAACAATCTTGGATGTTTGTTCCTTATCAGCTCCTGTAAAATTTCATCATTCTTATTAGTTACACAGTACTCCATTGTGTGATAAAATCAGTGTATAAATCCTGCATACATTCCCTTTTTAATATCTTGAAACTTCCCCCTCTCCTGCACTTAGAAGTACTGCAACCCTGACTTTAAGATGAACAGGTAGTGATCATGGCCGCGTTACTGTTATTTCCTGGCAAACACAGAACCATCTGTTTAGCCTGCCTGGTAACCACCATGGCCACAGCCAGGAGATAAGAGCAGGCCCTTTCACACGGTGAACACTGAATTTTTTCTCTATCTGGAAGGGCACTCAAGCAGCCTCTACCATCCAGTTAAAACAGCCTGAGGTGGGCCTCCCCGGTGGCGCAGCGCTTGACCGCTGGGTGGCGAGGCTGCCCTCGGCCTCTGCGGTGCCGGTTCAATCCCCGGCTGCTCCCCGGCCACCGGAGGAGGGTCCCGCATGGTGTGCCAGACCTGCTCCCCTCAGCAGTTTACCTCAGTCTGCCTGCTCTGCTCCCTGCTCTGGCTCTGGTGAATTCTCTCGCCCTCCCGCGCTTCTGACTGTACCCAGTGCTTGTATAAATGAATAAATAGATCTTAAAAAAAAAAAACAATCAAATTAAAAAAAAAACAATAATAAAGCAGCCTGAGGAAATGACAGACAAAGGCCGGATATGAACTGTAAATAGGGCATCTACCCTCTACCTCAGACTCTTCCTTTTTTGCCTAGAAATGCTCCAGGGCTTGAAGACTTTTACCTCTGGTGCCCACAGGCCGAGGCCTGTTGTAATTCTGCCAGATTTTACTCTCAGGCTCCCTGCAGCCTGACCCTTGCTCCTCCCTGGACCCTAATACAAATGGTCTGGTCCTTAGAATGTAACCAACAGGTTCTGTCAGAGATGTAAGTTCTGGAGTGTTCATGAGAAAAATGTGGGACCCTTTTGCTTCTCTCCCTCTGGAAACCTTAGTGTTTGGGCTGGCAGGAAGCTAAGTTGAAGTCAACAGGCGCCATGTTTCCAGCCTGTGACTCCCTCTCTGTGGATCGCCTATGTCAAAGCAGGGATCCAGCTGTTGTTTGTCAGCCTCCAGTCCTCTTGATGTGACAACAAATGTTTTTCTTGTCTTAAAGTAACTGTAGTGGCCAGGAGGGCACAGATAGGATCTCTATGATCCGAGCAGACGGGTAAGGGAGAGTCCTGGAGCTCTCGGTGGCTTTTTCAGGCTTTTATTAAGCTTTTTACGGCAGGGGAGTCTTCACTCTTTCTGGGCTCTCTGCTGCTCTCGTTCTAGTTCTCATTCTCTTGTTCTCCCTTCTGAGTCACGGGGACGCCACCCTTATAAGCCCAGTCTCAATTCAGATGCGCCCAGCGATGCATGCCCACACCCTGCTCCAGGTGTCCGCCATCAGGCATGCACGTAGGACCGCAGGGATCCATCATTAATGCTAACGGTGGGAGGGTGGGAAAGCCTGGTACTTTTTCACTTACCCCACAATCCACCCCCTCAGGGTCTTCTGCCATACAACCTGTATGCAAGTTATATACAAGTTTCCCTTGGTGAATATAAACACTGCAGCCATGGCCCACAAAAGTAAATAGAATACAACGGAATATAGCAATGCAACAACACAACAAAACACAAACAGTCCAGGCAGGGCACCAACCTGGGGCAAAAGACAAGATTATTGGCACCAGCAGATGATCCACTACGACCGCTGCCGAAGGCGCTGCTCATGTGAGGGGGGAACCACTCATGGCATCTGCTGTCACACACCAGGAGCCATAAGGCTTCCTGGCCTTTTCTGGCTGTGGTCTCGGCCACAAGCCACACACCGCATCCACCCCCTGGATGCGCTCACTTTTGGATTGGCGATTCTGTACTCTTTGGGGATAATCGTCCAATCCTCAGGGTTTCTGTCTGCGGTCGCTCCAACACTCGGCTTTCACAGCCACCAATGTGACACTCAGACCCCCGCACTCAGGCCAACCCTTTGCACATGCACATGGGTCGGGGAAACGTGGATACAAGCTCCACACGCGGCCTCTTTTGGGTCCCTTCTTGGGCTGTGGGCTCCACCACAAGCCACATTCCCCACCCGTCCCCCAAGGACGAGTTCCTCAGCTTCTCCCCCTCACTCAACAACGAACAGGCATCAATCACAGGTAATTTAAAGAGACTCACTGGCCTTCTTTAACACACTTAGGCTGCTTAACAGCCACTCAGGGCTTCCCAATCTCAGCACCAGCCTTGGCCTTACCTAAGTTGGCCTTTTTGATATATCTCCTCTGCCTGGCTGCAGAGAACTTGGCGAGGGCTTCTTCCCTAAGCCAATCTTGGGGTCTTCCCATGCCTGCCCCTTCCTCTACTCTGGCCATGGCCTCTCTGGGCTGTTTCCCAAGGATTTCTGGGCAGTACACGGGCTGCATTTGGTCACCGAGGCCCACCAGACACGCCTTGATTTTCATCTCCTGGGGTTTAGAAACGATACCATCCACCCCCAGGGTCCCCAAGACGTAACACCAACCTGCCAAAGTTCCTCCGTCTTCTGGCTAGATTGTCAGTCCAAGTCCATTGTTTTTCCCTGCATCAGCACTGGGCGAGCTCTGAATGGTGGTCCTCTTTCTCCTATGATTCTGCTGCCTTAGGGGTTATGGGCTGGTCCTCCCAGGCAGTCTCCTCCTCCATGCGAGGTCTCGTCCAGCATCTCCTGGACCTTGTCCACCTCCTGTGCTCCTGCAGCATCTTTAGCTCTTCCCGCAGCTCCTGGACTTTGGTCACCACTGGTGTTGCCCTGTGCCTCCTGTGTTGTCACATGCTCACGGCCTGCCACCCCTCAGCCCCTCCTGAGGTCTTTGGAAGGCTCCATACCCGTCTGCATAGAATCATCCTGCCGACTATGCCAACTATAGAGGCAGGAAGCACAGAACAGGAACTCTATGATCTGAGGAGATGGGTAAAGGAGAGTCCTGGACCCCTTGGTGGCTTTCTCGGGCTTTTATTGAGCTTTTTACAGCAGGGGGGCTGGCAGGCTGGCAGGCCTCCCAGTCTCCTGGCGAATCTTCTCTTTCTGGGCTCTCTGGTGTTCTTTTGTGGTCTCTACCACTCTCGTTCTAGTTCTCTTGTTCTGCCTGCTGGCGTCCCCATGACGCCACCCTTATAAGCCCTGTCTCAACCCAGGTGTGCCCACCTATGCATGCCCACACCCTGCTCCAGGTGCCTGCCATCAGGCATGCATGTAGGACTGCAGGAATCCATCATTAATGCTAATGGCAGGAGGGCAGAAAAGCCTGATACTTTTTCACTTACTCTATAGTAACAGATGTATATTTTTAAGAAAATATTAAAAAGTACACAGAAGCAAAGATGGACCCTATGACTCCACCACTCAGAGAAAGCCACTGTTAATATAGGTTGGTTTTGGGCCTCCCCTGGTGGCGCAGGCGGTTGAGCACCATGCTGTGAAGCTGTCTGCAGCCTCGGCAGTGTGGGTTCGATCCTGGCCGGCCGGCGAGAGTCCCACATAGCACAGCAGTTCTCTCCTGTCTTGCCCGCTGCTCCCCTCAGCAGTGTATTTCATCAGTCTGCCTGTTCTGCTCCCCGCTCTGTCTCACCCTCCTGCGCATCTGGCCTGTACCATGGTTCTTGTATAAATAAATAAATAAATAAATAAATCTTTAAAAATAAATAAATAACATAGGTTGGTTTTCTTGTTTTCTTTTAAACTTCCAGTCCTCTTACTAGCCCAGGTGCTTGAGACTCTGTGAAACAATGGCAGGTGGCAGACGAGGGTTTGTGCACGAGAGGGACGAACCGGTCCAGCCAGGCCTCCTCCACTAAGAAGAGCAGGAATGACCTGGGGAAGAGGGGCTGAGGGGAGAGGGGGCCGGCAGCCACCTGCTCCTTTCCTGTGGTAGCTAAAGAGCTTGAGGGGTCAGTGGAATGATGGGGTGCTCACTGACATCCGCTCTCACCAACCAGGCCAGATCCAAGTAGGTGGGATTGGGATTTCATTTGGGGGGAGGGGATGGTTTGGGATTTTATG